TAATATTATGGCACAGTGGATAACATGGCATTAGTTAGATCCAGTGACAGGACACAAAGAGTGTGAATTCAATACCTGGTTAAGGCAGTGGAGAACTTTCAGAGTGGAATTAACAGGAGATAACTGATAACTGACATCCATTAAACATGGCACGTGGAACTAGAACAGTCTACCCCAGTGAGCGAAATGAAGGGTTCAGTTCAACATTCCAACCACCTGATGAAGGCCGGAGCATACAACAGCCGAAACGTAATAAATATGGTAACAAAGATGAGAACAATAGTACAAATAATGTAAATAATGTACATAATGCCTCATCTCAGAAATATAGACAGAAACGATATTTTATTGTTGGAAAATAGTCATTTATAAAACTTTCAATAAATATTCTCATTGTAATTGTTCTGTTGAACTTTCCTCTTTGGTACTTAGACTTTAGGAATTTAAGTCTACTACTAGCTTGGCGCCAAGGTCTCATCATTTTACAGTTGGAATGGCTAGATGGAACCATAAGTTCTAGGCTGACAGCTTCTTCTCTTACACTTCTGACTTTTAGGACTCTCTTCCAGTTTCTTACTTTCCAGTCAACTTGATCTTCAAAAATTTAAATGCAATGTCAATCGTTATCTTGTTTTCTTAATTCCTGTTCTTTTATTTTCTCCCTTCATTTTTTTTCTTTTTCTCATATTCTCTAACACTCAGTAACCCTTTGCATCTTAGTGGCCTTATTGCCTTGCTTGGGGTGAAATGATTAAAAAAGAAAAGTGCAACTTAGTCTAGCTCAGGGCCACAATCTTGATTTGATCATAAAGATCAAACTCAGAATACTCTCAAATTGATCTTTTTAAGATGGGCTTATTAATTGTTACACCTTAATACGTGCAGTTTAAGGCTTAAACAACAATTCACTGCCATGTCATTAAGGAAAATCAGGGCTTAATTTTACCTGGAACAATGATACATTTTTGGTATATTTACTAAGTGTTATTTTTGGTATCAACTGTTTGTGAGATCAATTTGTTTACCAAAAAACAATATCGGTCTCTCCTGTATGTGATTGATCTCTTGACTTATGAACTAATCCTCTTAGCAAATAGGCTTTTTTTTTATGGTGTGGGATTGCAAGCCCCACCCCTATGCTATTTTCAACTCCTAGCTAGAAAGAAAACTTTATTCCACTTTTGGAATTCAGAGTTATTCTGACTTGTTTCGAAAAGATAAAAAATAGGAAAAAAGATACCTGTTGACTCTGATCAGATTTTAAATCACAATATACTGAATTACATTGTACCAAGAAGAAAAATATGTCTGATTTATTTTAACCATAGTGCAATGTTTCTCAACCTTTTTAAGCAATGGCACACCTAGGAGCAAATAAAAATCTCATCCATTGCACACTTAGCAAAATGTTTTAAAGACTATACATTTAAATGTTAGGAAATAAAACCATAGGTTTTGAATTAGTACTGCTCGGTTATTGCTCATTCTGTTTCCACTTAGTCTCTATTTGCATTATCCGGCCCAGGGATTGAACTCACAGTTACTATGCCATCAAATTCATGAACAAGTAATTTAATCCACTAGGTCAATGTTTCTCAACCTTTTTTAAGCAACGGCACACCTAGGAGCAAATAAAAATTTTTAATGGGTATACATTTAAATGTTAGGAAATGAAATCATAGATTTAAAAAAAATGCACACATGAATATGAAGTTTCAATATTTCTATTCAACTAATTGTGCAGCTTATTTTGTGTGAAAGCCTGTGCCTGGTGTTTTTTTTTTGTTTTTTTGTGATTTCTTCAATGTTTGTTCAAATGTATGATAAACAGACCGTCATTTCTTCTTCAGTTGGGCATAGTCTTTCTTTCTTCTTATTTTTGATGTTATTTAGGGTTGAGAAGCCTAATTCACATAAATAACAAGTAGAAAATTGCAATAAAACTGATAAAGCCTTTTTACCTAATATGGGATAAAAAGTTTAATACTTACTCATTTATTCAAATGCTAACACTGTACTGTTTCCACACATGCATATACAGTGTGTCCATAAAGTTCGTGTGCACTTTGCACTTATAAAGTTTTTAAAGTGCACACGAACTTTATGGACACCGTGTATATGTATGCTGTGACAATATTTTGTAGCACACTTAAGTTGACCAGACAGCACACTAGTGTGCTACGGCACAGCAGTTGAGAAACACTGCCATAGGAGTAGGGCAGAACCTTTTAGTGGATTTTGAAACCAATTTTTGTCATAGAGTAACGGGATTCTGTGATCTAGCTCTAACATCAAACCTCAGATGTTATCATTTACTTGACTACCATTGAGCTTTTTTTGTAAAAAAAAAAAAAAGAAAGTTGAATTACTTGAATGTTGTAATATTAGGTCTGTTTCAAATTGTTGACTTGCTGTTTTGTTTTTTTTTTTTGTTGTTGTTTTTTTTTCCCATGGTTTCTTTTTTTTTTTTTTTTTTTTTTTCTACCTTTTGAAATGTCAAACATTCCCTGCCCAATTTATCATGTATGTTGTCTCCACCCAAGATTCAAAAAGACTTGCTTATTGCCAACTCAGAAGTTAATGAGCAGAACTTACACATATATACACACACACACACACACACAAAAAATCAGTTACATGACTGACCTTTCTTTTTTTTTTTTTTTTTTTTTTTTTTTTGAGGTTGGTTTTAACTGTTACATTTGTCAATGGTTGTTTGCTTCCCACCACTATCCATCATCACTTCTACAAATGGGCAACATTTTATCATGGAGATAATTTTCAGATAATTTGAATCAAAATTTTTAACTTTATGGTTTATCTGCTTTGTTAAGGATAGAAAGAATCTCTGATTTGAAACTTAAACAACAAGTATATTGACATGAAATTTCTGTCTATATTTCTGAGATGAGGTATTGTAATTATTTATGCTATTTACATTGTTCAAACTGTTGTCCTCATCTTTGTTGTCATATTCACAAAATTTCGGCCATTCTATACTTTGGCCTTCTTCAGGTGATTGGAATTTGGATTTTCTACATGATTAACACTCAAACAGTTGTCTTCATCTTTGTTGTTATTACAAGGTTTCACTATGGTGCTTTCTAGTCTTCATCAGGTTTGCTGATCTGGGTAGACCACTGGACATTTGTCTAATGGATGAAAGCATTAGTTCATGAATTTGGTGACCGTAATCTCTGGGATGGGTAGTGCAGTCTTGGACTCAATGGAAAAAGGCTAGCAATATGTGAAAAATGCTAAATAAGTACAAGATATCTCTAGACATTGTCAGTAGAATGAGAGCACTTCTACAGATTACGTAAAGAGTTCAGTTTGAAATTCCCTGATGAGAAATGGAGGGCACACTGCCTGAAATGTTGTGATAATAACAACAAAGGATAGCTCAAGTGTAAATAATGACTCTTCATCCCGGAATTTCAGATAGACGATATACAAGGGTAGATCAATAAATCCATAGCTCGGTACATAGTCCTTACCTAAATTTTGATCTGATATTTTTACTGTATAAGCTCAGCAATTAATGGAGAGTGCATTGACAAACAAGGAGATTAGGTTGAAAAATATTTGCATTATTGCTGTACATACATATTTCATGTATATTTGCATATGTGTACATTCACATCCATGTACTTTTATCAACAAACACACCAGGTGTGCATTTCTTAGATAAATGGTTACATAATTAACATTATAATGACTAAACAAGAACTTGATGACCTTATCACATTTTGAATTAATTTGGGATACAGAATAAATGATCACTTAGATTCCATCTCAAATTTGAAACATGAAAAATATCATCCAAAGTATAAAATACTATTAAAAAAAAAAAATTTGTTAAAAAACAAATGTCATTTATCATATTGTCATAACTTTAAAAATTTTTTTTTTTTTATTGTTGGTATTTCTCTTTGGCTAACTACATCTGACAACAAGACCTCTGATCAGGAGATTGGAGGTTTTGAGGAGTGTGGAATTGCTGTTGTTACCAGGTCCAGTGGTAGCACCCGTTAGGGTCCCAGCTATAGGCAAATAGTGAAACCTGAAACAAAAACAAAACACTATAAAAGCATAAAAATACCACTAGAGGTTGATATGCCACAAAAGAAAATCAACCAACCAACCAGATCTCTGGCTATAAATTTGGCAATATGAATCAAAGAAATGTTCATAGAACCTGAAAGTTATTTTAATCTGAGAAGCTCTGGGCAACATTGTTAATTTAAAAATGAAATTTCTTTAAAAATTCTATCATCATTTTTAGAAATACAATTTTAGTTAATGAACTTAAAAGTTAGTCTATCCCGTGTGTGTGTGTATACTTTCTTGTCTTTGTGTGAACAACAAATCTGACACATTTGGGCCTGTCCCTTGGCCACATAATATTATTGTTGGAATTAAAATAAAATGACAAGTTATGTACACTCTGTTGTAGTTTACATTAAAAGCTACTTGTAGCTATTATAATGTCAATACTTGGATCATATCATATTGCAAAGATGACTTTTAAAATATTTCATTGCACTTTTAATCTGTTTGTCAACTTGCTAGTAATTTATCTTGTTTCAACCTATGAGATTTTTAACTTTCTGCGCCATCTGAAATACATTCCTTATTTTATAGAATTTTTCTATTGTAAAAGTAATCAAAGTATGTAAAGTGGTTAATTCCATTACAAAATTTAATAACTTCAGGAAGAAAATATTTCAGATATTTATTATAGAAATTATCAACCTTTTTTAGACAGACCAGCCAAATATATGTGGTTTGAAATACCAGTTGGCCTTATGTGTATTTTTTGTACCATGTCCAGTACATAGCTGCCGATGGCTCTTCCCAGCCACTTTTTATTTCATTATCTCTGAATTTCCATGCATTCTTGGGGAAAGATAACAAAGTGATTTCCTGTTGCCTTCTCTATAGCTTGAATTCAGTTTCCCCTTCTGTTAGACTAGTTGTCATCCAACCCTAGACTGGGCTTATGGCCATATCATGTTGAAACACTAGTTCCCGTACAATCACTGTAGTTAAGCAATGTCGAGCCTGGTCTGTACCTAGATGGATAACCACTTTAGAATACCAGGTGCTGTAAGCTTGGATGTGCAGGTGATGTAAGCTTGGATGTGCAGGTGATGTAATGAATAATGGCTTGCAATTATTAATCGGAGAGCTGAGTTCCATTTTCCCTGTTGGGTTTGTTATATTCACTTACACGCAAATACCTTTGGGAATGGCATGGACCCACCTTCTCCACTCTAGATATGGGTTAATTAGTAAGACTTGTATCACTAAATCATTATTGACTTCCAAAAAAAAAAAAAAATTTCTTACAATCTAAAAATATTTTCTGGCTTTAAATAACCTACAAAAGGTTGATAAGCTATAGAAAACTGTTGGAGCCACCCACCTTCTCATCAGAATGGACTGATCTCTCTACTACTAATAGGACAGTTCTATAGAGTTCTGGAAAGATCAGGTGACCATCACACTTCCATCTCTCTACTGGAAGATACAGTTGGACTTTATACTCTTTCTGATTGTTACTGACTAACCTGCATTCGTTTGACTACTAATCTCTCTGTTGTAAATACCTCTTCAGATATACCAGTATTTTTCCCTACGTATGTGTTTGTCCTTATTTCAATATACGCACGGGGAAACACTCAACATCTCAACAAAAACAAATCAATCAATTAAGTCTAGACAGCCCAGTCTATCTTACTATTTAATCCATGACTGGGAGAAGAGATTGATTCATGCCTTTCCCAAAGATATTTGTGGGAAAGTAAATGCAACAGTTTAATCTGGAATTTGAATTTGGCTCTACCACATTCACTTTCCACACCCATACTCATTAAACTACACATGCATTCACCCAAAGGAGGTATAGACTATTGAATCAACCCAAGCTAAATGGCGGCTTCCATGTAATAGTAGTGAATTTTGAAATTAGTGATTTGTCATTTTTTTTTTTTTTCTTTGATAGATGATTCAATTTTCCTGCCATGGTAATCAGGCATAGACTTATAAATGCCCAGGAGGGTTGCAAGCCATTCTGGACTCTGATGACATGTTTGAAACTGAGGAAATTTATTTAGTTCTGATGATGACTCAGACTTTAACAGCACCATTAGAAATCTGGCTAGGCCAGTAAATGTTACAAATCTTTTGTTGGCATCTATGGTGGAATATATTAAACAGTTTCATGTTTTTCTTTGTGACTGTCCAGCCCTCAAAAGGGATGATTTTTATGTGTTGCTATAAATCCTGATCTTAGTATTGAGACTGTATTGCTTGGACTTTCAGATGTTAAGCAGTCAATTAAAATCACCTCTGGCTTTGTTAAGAGAGCGTTTCTTTTTTGGTTCTGTTTTCACTGCTTATGAGACTTCCACGTCATGTGTTCATCCATCTTATTTAAATTAGCACTGTTATGATTTTTCATATATGTTCATGGGATAAAAATATGTAAATTTTTATATATCTACAACAATTTTAGGGAGAAAGATATATGACAAAGTGGAAAAAGTAACATTGTCTCCTTTAGGACTTTATTGGACTAACTTTGTTTACATTGGTGCTACTACACATGCACACAAGTGAGACACACTGGGAATTTTAAATTTAAATTTCTTTTTAAATGTATTTTAGGCATATAATCTAGTTGATTTAATTTAGATACTTTTTCTTTTTGTTTCCATAATCTTTGTTATTAAATATTCCACATTGTAATATGCCGCACCAGGAAAATTTTTCTCACCGAAGTCGATCCTTCAAATCTACAAATCAACCATTCACCCTTGCATGAAGTATTGCTGCCATATATGGTCTGGAGACCCTTCTAATTGTCTCAAGGTCCTTAATAAAATCCAAAGACGGATATGCAATGTAATTGGCCCTGATCTGGCATGTCGTCTGCAGCCGCTCTCTCACAGACGTGCCGTTGCCTCCCTCTGTCTTTTTTACAAATACTTTCATGGTAACCGCTCCGGTGAGCTGCTTTTGCTGGTTCCCAGACTTTGTGAATTTAAGTGCTCAACTAAAAAAAATTGCCTTGAAAAACTTCATTTAAAATTTTTACCATAGCCTTTAACAGTATGTGTGTATTTAGTGGTTAGATTACAAGTAATTTACCCACAAAATGTATGATATATTCTTTTTTAATAATATATTGTGATTTTCCAAGCCTAGTTTGGATGTGGCACAAAGCTGAAAGTAAGGGGCACCCAGTAAGGATCGAACTAACTATTCAGTCATAATTGTTCTAGCGAGACAAGCTTGTTAACCATTACACCACCTTGAGGGCCCTTTTTTTTTTAATAATATATATATATATATATATTTTATATATATATATATATATATATATATATATATATATTATATCTTTATTTTCTTAATGACCTTTTTTCATGACATATCTTTATATCTTTTTTGATGCAATATCTTTTTCTTCAATGACATGTCATTTTTTTTTAATGATGAATATCATATTTTTTTAATGACATATCTTTTTAAATTTTTTTTAATGACATTTTTATTTTATGGTATATATATTTTTATTTTTATTCACATATACAAATACAACATAAGTTACACATGTTATTTTAATATTTAATTTTAATTCTTAACTTTATTTGCAGTGCCTGCTGTTTACAAGCCACCATTGAGACCAGAAGATGATGTGCTTCCTCCCCCGCCACCAATCATGTCTGGGTATCCAGATGAAAATTTCCCTCCTCCTCCCCCACCTCCTGAACTAGTTCGGGGTCATGCTTACATTGACAGAAATGATTCCTACCCTTTACCCCCACCACCTACTAGTCATGACTATGATCCCAAAGGCCCAGCTACAAGAAACACCAACTATTCGCAACAGACTAACTATGGCGGGACGTCAAGTCCTACTTATGATGCCCGAGCAATACTTGTGACGGCTCCATCTGGTTACAATAGAGGTGAGGGTAATCAGTCAAATTATGTCAACCAGACAGATATCCGCTCAGTAGCCCCACCACCACCACCACCAAACAGTATGTCCAATTATGTAAATGTGCACAATAATCCAGGTGCAGCGGCCGCAGGCATGAACCCTTCTGTTCCTGTAAATACATACACCCCTATTACTCCAAATGTAACATCATCACAGTATACCTCCCGCCCTGTAGGTCCCTCTAATCCTGGAGCTTATGGACATAACGTACCAAGATCTGCAGTTTTTGAGTCCTCTGCACCCATGCCAAAAAGTGATGACCCTGGCACCCTCACTCGAAAAAGTGGGAAAGAAGCTGAAGTGGATGCTTTGACCAATCTGCTGATGCAAAATATAGAATCAGCTGGAGACCCTGATTTCTTTGGTAAGTCATTTTGCAACATTTTTATTGTCTTTGTCTCTCTGCCTCAGTAATAGAAAAAAGAATGCATAGCCATGTTTTTAGATTGCCTGTCCTTTTGAAATTTTAAGGTTGACATTTTTTTGTTAATAAGCCTCTACTTTATGGCTGAAATAGTTTCGTTTCCCATCAATGGTCAGTTTTGTAGCATAAGCCAGGATGTACAATCCTGGTTTTCAAAGTAAAGAGATGTTCCAAATTTTCACAGATTGGTCCAATATAACCTTCCTATTCATTTTCTTTCATTTTGGTTTTGTGCTTTATTAAAGTAAATTTAGTAAAAATCTCTCTGTGTCTCTTGTGACTAAGATATTTGTGTATTTCCAGATTAACGCCAGTGGTTGGTGTTCAGGACATCAGTAAAAAAAAAAAAAATAACCATTTTGAATGCTAATTTTCAAGGCAAACATGTCTTATTTGTTCATAAGTCCTACTTATTTTAATTTAGGTAGGCTTTATAAGTACTATTGAGATACCCATCTTTTTACTTTTTTTGTTTATTCATTTTTATAAAGAGCAAAAAGTTTTTTTATATTTTACAAACTAAATCCTGCAATTCTGTATGAATTTAAATTTGATCTTTTTTTTATTTTTTTTTTTTTTTTTCCTAACTTAATGTTATATTCCATGCTAATAGGAATATATACTTGAAAAACAAGGTGGATAAAATAAGTAAAGTTTATTGTAAAAACTAGTACAATAAAGGTAACAGTTATGTACAAGTCAATCCAGTAGTGAGTGTTACTATTGGAAGGTTGGTAGTTCTTGCGTAAGTCTGAGTTGTACTCAACAGATCCCAGCTAGAATCCGTAGTCCATTGACTTACCGATACCTATAGGTAGTTACTACCTTTAGTGTATTTACTCATGGGTGGTGACAGGTTATTCTATTACATCACTTAAGAAAAACATTGCTTGGAATGGACTTTTTATTTTTCAGCTACTCTCTTCCCACAGAAAATACATATTTATCTGGAAGGGCAAGTTCTCGAGTATAAGTGATGTGGATTCAAATTATTATTTTATAGCTGTTAAATAAATAATCTGAGAATTGCAACAAAAGACACTGACAATGCATTGTTTTTTATCATGTCCATTGCGATGTCTGCTCTAAGAAAGTTGGTTCACCGAGTCCTTTTAGACAATTTTTCTCACCAGAATCGATCTTGCACCTTTATATGTTTATCATTTGTCTGTGCTTTGAATTCCGCTTTCATATCTGGTTTGGTACTTCTGTTATGTATCTAGAGATTCTGGATAAAATCCAAAGTAGAACCTGTCCTGTGTAAGACAATAAACTACATCTGACAGCAAGGCCTCTAATCAGGAGGTTTTGAGAAGCATGGAACCACCTCTTAATTGCTGATGTTTCCAGGTCCACCCTGACCTGGGCTGGTAGCATCTGTTAGGGTCCCAGCTAGGGGCAAATAGTTAACCCCCAAACTGGAGTCAAAATGTGTAAAAATAGGTTTTAATACCAGCAATACATTATTGGAAAAAATATTACCAAAAATACTTTTTGAAAAAAAAAAAAATTACCAGCAATAAAAATCTTGCTGGCATTAAATAACCCATTAAGGTTGATATGCCACAAACCAAACCAAACCAACCAAAGTAGAATCTGTAATGTTATAAGTCCTGACCTGACATCTTGACTTCAATCAACTTCCCATCACCACAATTTAGCTTTCCTGTACCTTTTTTATATTTTCATGGCAATTACTCTGGTGAGCTCCCCATGTTGATACATCAACTTCATGAATTTAAGCATATTATTACATTAGCAGCGAAAGCTTATTATTTTATTACTGTTGAAATTGCTAAGTGTAACCAGACATTCTTTTCTCATGGTTTCTTCTCTCGTACCACTCGCTTGTGGAACTCTCTTCCAACTTTCCTCTCAATGATCTTTAGAAATTTCAATACAACATCAATTGTCAGCTTCTGTCTTCTTGAATCCAGTTCTTTTTATTGTCCTTTCTCTTCAATAACATTTTCTCAGTTTTCTTCACATCCAGTAACTCCTTGTCTCTTAGTGGTATTATCACCTTGACTGGGGTGAAATGATTAAAAAAACGAAAGTTGTAAGAAATTTGTGCATTTATTACCACATTTCATTCGTGTTAAAATTACCATAAAGATCAACCTCAAAGCTAACATGTTTTAAGATAATCTTTTAAAACATAAACAGTTTTACCTAACTCTAGCATTTTTTTACCTTCTTTTTCAAAATCCTCTTGGGACTGATTTCTAACAGGCAATTAGTGCTAAGACATATTACATAATTGAAAAACCAAAGCACTCTATTATGTGATCTGAGGAACATATTGTTATGAGAAAGAAGAGTAATAAAATTTTGTAATGTTTATTTCTATCAAGTCTGCAGAAATACATGCTCTGTAAACAATTTCAAAATAGTTTTCCTTTCATTAAGAAGAAGGGGAGTCAATTCTTATATAAACTAAAGAAAATTCTTTATATACAGAGGACATTCTTACATCTGTCAGCAAACTTGAAATCTAGTCATTGCCAGACTGTATAAAATGTTGGAAAACAAAAATTGTCAGTTATTTTTTTCATGATATTAAATAATATAATACATATCTAAAATAAATATATATATATATATATATAGATAATAAATTTTATCAGTTTATTATTTTTATTGGCTTTTTATTTTTTAATATTATGTAAAATAAAACAATGATTTATATAATACTTAAATTATAATGGTCCAGTTTTGGTATCTTTATGTGCTTGTTTTCATGACACAAAAATGGCACATTGTAGCACAATCTTTGTTAGTACAATACTATTTAAATGTTCTAATTTGACGAATAAAACAACTTCTAGTTGAGTTGTCAGTTTTAATTAAGTATAAATTGACAAGAAATGTCTTAACTAATAGTAATTAAATTTAGAATTTTAAAATTCTTTAAATAGGAAATGACTTGATATTTAGTGAAAGCTGCCAAAGGTGGTAGTTCAGAAATAAATAAATATTTATGTATCTATAAGCTTAAGATATCAAATTTAGAGTTTTTCAATTCAGTTTAAAAACTGGACTTTAGGATTAGACATTTGCATAAGTTGGTTTATAAATCATTAAATTATGTTTTAAACTGCATTTGAAACTGGATCAAAAAAACACTTTAGTGCCAGAGCCATACAGTAATGGCAGCCAATTCAAAATGTTTTATGGGCACACCTCCAAAGCTCTATATCAAGGGTCGGCAACCTTTTGCTAGCTATGTGTCGATTTAGGGTTTTAAAATCATTCAGTGTGCCAACAGTATATGTATTTTTATACAAGTCAAGGTCAATATACCTGTTCTACAATATATTTTACATAGTTTAGCATATAATAAAATTGAAACAGCTAAATATTTTCTTTGTGGTGTAGTAGTTATTGGTTTGGACTTTGTGATGTCATTTGCGGCTGTGTGCCATTGGGAATTGCTTGGCGTGCCACATGTAGCTGATCCCTGCACTGTATGACCAGAGTTTGGCAGCTGATATCTACTATGACATCTCAGTAGGAAGAAAAATATCTGGTCACATTCAATACCTCAAAAACCAAATTCCATCATCACCAAGTAGATCCTGAATTTTCATCTATTGCAATGAATGGGTGTTCTCTCAGGGAGGAGACTTAAGCTCAACCCAGACCTCAAGTGGAACTTGTACATACCACCAATTACTGAAGAATTGAAGATGCTAATAAAATGGTCAGTTCCTTGTACCACTCCAATAATTACCTGCCCCCCCCCCCTGCTATCTTCTACCTTTTTAAAAGAGTTAGATCAGGCTGAAAATGGAGTACTGCTGCCATATATGAGTAGATGCTATCCAGTCTTCAATTTCCAGTCTTGATAGTCCAAAAGCGTCTCTGCATCTTTGTGGATTATTAATTACCCCCAAAAAAAAAACCCCTTTCTCACAGATGAAGTGTTGTAAGCCTCTTGATCTATTGCTATTTTTGTGGAAAGCATTCAGACAAACTACATTCCTTAATTCCACCAGTTCTAACCTTCATGACTAAAACCTTCCATGCCATGCACATTGTAGCAAACCACCGTCATTCCCTTTGTATTCCATTGGTGAGATGTAGGTTCCACTCAAGTAGCTTCTTTCTGTGGACCACTGCTTTTTGGAACCGACTGCCAACATGATGCTTCTTCAATCACTACAATCTTAACCTGTTAAAGACTAGCATCAACTGTTCTCTTCCCCACATATACCCATAAACTGTGCCTCTTACTCTGTAACCCTCTAACTTGGGTAGCTCTTGGGTCTTGTACAGGGTGAACATTATTGCATAAAAAAGAAAAAGAAAACCTATGGGAGGTGCAAAACTACAGATTAGGGATTGTTACTCTTAGAGTAAGTCCAGCTGCAGATTACTACTGTATTTTCGCAAACAACTGCTAGATATGACTTTTGCTGTCTCTACTAGTCATACGTTCTGTTCTCAAATTTTATACACATACGGGTGAGTCCACCTCATTGCTCAGGGTATAATATCTCACTCTGTTAAAAAAAAAAATAAAGAAAAACGTCTTCTTTTTAATAACTGGAGTGGGTATAAAGAAAAAAATTACATAGTCGCTCCAATGATAATGTCTAATAATACTAATAATAATGCCCTTTCTTTATATTTTCTGGTTCTTAATTGATTTATATGCTTCTTATGTAAGCCATTTTTCCCCCCGAATCACCAAATACGCCACCCTTCTGATGCATTTGTAGATTCTTCTTAGTGTTCCCATTTTTTGTTTACCTGCTTGGTAAACCCAAAATAATAATGGGTCACCTTTATTTGTTTTTTGTCCAACATTGGATTTTTATTGGTGGTGATTTAGCTGTCAATGCACAGTCTTGGCAAGACTTTACTAGATCTTCAACATCCTGATCCATGCCCTTTCAGTATATGTAGCTTCACATCAGTGCTTTCAAGTGAGAAAT